GCACCTGTAATCCCAGCTACTTGGGAAGCTGAGGCATGGTTCGAGAATCACTTGAACCCGAGAGGCAGAGGTTGCAGTGAGCCGAGATCGTGCCATTGCACTCCGGCCTAGGCAACAAGAGTGAGACTCTGTCTCAGAAAAAAAAAAAAAAAGAAAGAAAGAAAGAAAGAAAAAGAAAAGAAATCCACTTAACTTTCTCTAGTTAAAAAATAAAATAAAATCTCTGTCTACTGAAATGCTTAGAAGCAATAATCTGTCAGTAACAACAAATATATGCAGCGACCCAATCCTGCTTCTAAATACCATCTTCTAACAAAAGGAACCAGGGCTCTTTAGAGAAATAACTAATTTTTAGGACAAGAGAAGGGAAAATAAAAAATAACCCAGGAAAATTTGCCAAAACTTGGAAACAACCAAAAGATGTTGTTCAACAGGTGAACCTGTAAATTGTGTTACATCCAGGCAACAGAATATTATTTAACACTAAAACAAATGAGCTATCCAGCCACGAAAAGACCTGGAGGAACTTTAAATTCGTATTACTAAGTAAAAGAAGCCAATCTAAAAGGGATCTATGCATATGATTCCAACCAAATAATATTCTAGAAAAGACTAAACTATGGAGATAGTAAAAAATCAATGGTTACCACGGGTTAGGAAGGAAAGATGCTAAGCAGAGCATAGAGAAGCTTTAGGGCAGCAAAAACTATTCTGTATGTTACTATAATGGTGAATATACATCATTTGTCCAAAAGCATCGAACGTACATCACTAGGAGTGAACTCCTATGTAAACTATAGACTTCGGAGCAACAATAATATATCTGGGTAAGTTCACTGACTATAAAAATAAAAACAAATAAAGGTGGTGAATGAATGTGAAACAACAAACAAACAAGAGCTGAGGCATCTTGTAGTACCAGAGGATAAGTAAGTAGACAACGTATGGGGGCATGTCAAAAGGACATAAGCATCAATCTGAAGGAGTTCCCAATAACAAAAACTAAAATAGTTTTAAGCATCAAAGTAGATAACATAGCAATGAATTATAACCCAAACTATGAAATACGTGAGTCTATTAAGATACAAATGATGACATAAATAAAAAATAAAGAAGAATAAAGAGACAACAAATCTTCATATAGAATTCCAAATATTCTCCCTCCTGCTGGTGGTTCTTAACTCCATCTCCCTCTTCCCAAACCCCCATTCCCAATGAGGGTTGACTAGACTTAGAGACTCACTTTCAAAAATTAGAGTAAGAAAAGAGAAAAAATAGTATATTTTCAGTAAATAAACTTGGCAAACAGTACTATATCCAAGTAATAAAGGTTAACATCATCATATGGATATCACATATCCACTGATACGATGTGATGGCACAAGCCTTCACCTCTATGGTATTCTTTCAAAATACCCAAATAACCCTAGTCGAACCATGAGAAAAATGTCAGAAACACCCAGATTAGAGTACATTCCACAGGTCATAAAAAAGAAAGACTAAGAAACTGTCACAGAATGGAAGAGACGGGGGAAACATGACAACTACGTTATACGTGGTACCCTGAACTGAATCCTGGAAAAAGAGTATTAATGGAAAAGCTGGTGAAATCCAAATAAAGTCTTGAATTTCATTAATGGTCATGTTCTAACATTAAATTCTTAGTTTTGACAAATGTATCATGGTCATAGAAGACATTAATAATGAGGGAAACTGGATGGGAAGTATACAAAACTATGCACTATCTTTTCAACTTTTCTATTTATCAAAAATTATTCTGGCTGGGCATAGTGGCTCACGCCTGTAATCCCAGCACTTTGGGAGGCTGAGGTGGGTAGATCACCTGAAGTCAGGAGTTTGAGAACAGCCTGGCCAACATGGTAAAACCCTGTCTCTACTAAAAATACAAAACTAGCTGGGCGTGGTGGTGCGTGCCTGTAATCCCAGCTACTCGGGAGGCTGAGGCATGAAAGTTGCTTGAACCCAGGGGGTGGAGGTTGCAGTGAGCCAAGATTGCACTATTGGACTCCAGGTGGGGAAACAAGAATGAAAATCCATCTCAAAAAAAAAAAAAAAAAAAAAAAAAATTATTCCAACATAGAATATTTATTTTTTAAAAAAGCTTTAAAATGGAATTATAAACCCACTAAACCAATACAGATATCCTTTTGGAAAATGTTAACTGTCTAAATTTAACTACCATTTTCTCCTTTTTAAAAATCTGTAATACTGTGGTTTCTCTTCAGAATGCATAAATCTTCTGCCTTTTATAAAGTCTGTTAAATGGAATTGAAGAAAAAACAAAGCTGAGGGAAAAAGGACTCACAATTTCTTATTGGAGAATAAATCATGCTTTAATCAGAAACATTATGTTCTGTATATTAATAGTCCTAAAACTGTGCATATTAAACTAGGAACATTTGACTGACACTAGTAGAAATACTTCATAGCATACTTTAAAAAATACAAAACCTAATATTCTACCAATTTAATCTTCTGTCAAGTTTTACAGAACACTGTGTTCTGTGGTTCACTGCGCTTTACTGGGAAAGACACATATTTAATCCACGAGTGATATTATAATAGAGAAACAAACATTTAAGTTTATACCTTTCACATATGACACTTCTGAGGGAGGAGACAACTTGCCTCTAACTTTATAAATAATAGAAATGAATACTAAAAGGCGGTTAAGAAAGGTTATCCAAACCTTGAATATAAGGGTAAAAACTGTAGCCTTAAAAAACTGACGTCCTTTCAAGGTATGAGATAACAGGGGGACAAAGACCCACTCAACAGTTACTTAATTACTTAAGGAAAGGGAAATGTACTTGCTCCATTAGTCTATTTAATACTGAATTAAATAAACCATATTAAGTAAAATTACATGCTAATTTACAGATCTTTGCCAGCAGAATTGCAAATAATTCTGCCAGGTAGAAGAGATAATCCCAAAGGTTAGGGTGTATTGGTCTGAAAGACATTAACCAGTTTGCAACTGACCTCTCAATCTTACTCCAATTATTAAAATGTCTATAAATAGCCGGGCACGGTGGCTCAAGCCTGTAATCCCAGCACTTTGGGAGGCCGAGGCAGGTGGATCACAAGGTCAAGAGATCGAGATCATCCTGGTCAACATGGTGAAACCCTGTCTCTACTAAAAACACAAAAAATTAGCTGGGCATGGTGGTGCGTGCCTGTAATCCCAGCTACTCAGGAGGCTGAGGCAGGAGAATTGCCCGAACTCAGGAGGCGGAGGTTGCGGTGAGCCGAGATCGCGCCATTGCACTCCAGCCTGGGTAACAAGAGCGAAACTCCGTCTCAAAAAAAATGTCTATGAATACACAGCTCCTCAAATGCTCTTTGAAATGTCCTCTATTTTACTTGTTTCCTCTGTAATTAACGAACTGATTGAAATCTTTGATAAACATTCATTTTGTATTTGCATAAGTCATGTTTTTAATTTTTTAAAATTATAATTTCATAGGCATAAGGAACTTTCCATGACATGCTTGATGTGGCCTTTCCTACAACCAGATCTACAAATCCTACAATCTCACAGTATTATTATGATACTTTTTCTGCACAGTATTCTGCTAATATTGACAATGATTTGGTTATTAAACTATCAAATAACATGTTTTTGTTTCAAAGATAAATCAGAAAAGAATGTTACTTTCAAGGCCATCTTTATCCCACCACTGACTTTCCATTCTTGTAGCACAGTACAAAAGTAAACATGCAAACTATTCTATGACATTTTCCTTGAGTTTTCTCATCTGTGCATTTTTAAAGCAATAAAAAACACAAAAAGATTCCCCTCATTTCAAGTGAGCGATTTCCTGAACAGATTTTTTAAAGTCCTAATCCCTATAATGAGAAAATGTTTAAAGAAAAAAAAGCATAAATGAAACTCTGTACTTGTTGAGTCTGCATTAACAAATTACTCACAGAGGCCAGGCTCAGTGGCTCATGCCTGTAAACCCAGTGCTTTGGAGAGGCTGAGGCAGGAGAATCACTTGAGCCAGCAGTTAGAGACCAGCCTAGGACACGTGTTGAGACCTATCTCTACAAAAAATTAAAAAAATTCGCCAGGTGTGGTAGCATGTTGCTGGAGTCTCAGTTACTTGGGAGGCCTAAGGCAGGACGATCACTTGAGCCTAGGCGTTTGAGATCAGCCTTGGTACACAGCAAGACCCCATCTCTACAAAAAACGTAAAAAAAGAGCCAGGTTTGGTGGTATATACCTGTAGTCCCAGCTACTGAGGAGGCTGAGGCAGGAGAATCGTTTGAGGCCAGGCATTTTAGGCTACAGTGAGCTGTAACTGCGCAACTGTAAACTCTATCTTGGGCAATAAAGCAAGATCCCACCTCTAAAAAAATACTAGAAAAAAAAGGAATTACCCACAGAATTATAGAACAGGATTTAGACAGGACTTTAAAGATCTTCTTCTTGCTCAATCCCCTGTTTTAAAGAAAAGTTAGGCTCCAAGGAATACAGTGACTTTCCAGAGGTCTGACAGTTGCTAAAATTCATCTGATCTGACTTAAAAGATGTAATTTGTTGTACACCTCTCAAAATGTAGACATGAGTTAATTTTATTTAAACCAATTATTGGAAAAAATTTTCCTTCCATCTGTTTCAAATACTACTATTTGTAAAATGAAATGGACTAGTAACTGGTTCAGGTAAAAACTATAAATTGCCTTTACTTCCATAAATATGATTAATTACAAGTAAATTCAGATTACATGTTTGAGATTCGACCAAGAAAGATTAGTAAAAGAAAAAAAAATCACAACTCTGTATTTTCAGTGTTACATTTTTCACTAAAAACAAGTCTGTATTATAAGAAACTTGAATATTTTGGAAAACTCAAGTGAACTAATGATAAAAAACTACTTTCAACTTTTAGATTTGAGCATGGGAAGGGAAGCACTATTTCACTCTCATCCAAACCATAATATATTAAAGCAAAAGAGAAAGGAATATTTCATACCCTGACATCACTTCTAGATGAAGTTGTCCTGAGACAGTTAAGTAAGCAGGAACATTGAAGAAATTCTCCTCAGGTACTTTTATTTTGCCTGCAGCCTGCAAATCAAAAACACAAACCACCAAAAAAACTATTACATGTTTTGTTTTGCTTTTCACATTCATATACATGCCCCAACTAAAAATCTTAACGTAATTAAATCTACGTGAAGACAGGTTGTTCTCATGAAAATAAAGGTAGTTACACACTTAAGAGAAAATGCCAGCTTAGAAAGTGCTAATAAAGGCACAGAAGTTTGCTTCATATTTGCAAAACATACAATATCCAAAGGATGAAGTACCTTTGTTGCAAAATACACTTCCCCCTAAAAAGCAATTTTGAGTAAGGAGCAAGCTAAGGCAAGAGATTATGAATTAACAAAACAAAAAAATAGAAATTTTTTTTTTTAAAAAAAGGAAAACAGATTATGAATTAATTAATTAATTTTTTTTTTTTTAAAGATGGGGTTTCACCATGATGGCCAGGCTGGTCTTGTACTCCTGACCTCAGGTGATCCACCCACCTCGGCCTCCCAAAGTGCTAGGATTACAGGCGTGAGCCACTGCGCCCGGCCTGAATTAATTTTTAATGTGAAGAATTACATAATCTCAAAATGCTGACTTATGATTGAGACTTAATTACCTCAAGGGAATTGTCTCTGGAACATGTGATGTCACATTTATTATTAAAATATTAACAGTAATGCTTTTAACACAGATTTTCATAAACACATACACTTTCAAAAATACTATTTAATTGTCGCCGTAACTCAGTGGCAGGAAAAGCATGACTCTATCTTTAACAGATACACTGAGTAACGAGATTTTTATGAACTTACAATACACAAAGGGTGATTATTCCATTTGAAATGTGTAGGAAATAAGCCAGTCAACATTTATTAAGAGTTAAGCTAAAAAAACTACCTGGAGGCCAAATACAATTTAAACAGTGTAATAAAGAAAGCTTCTGAATCAGGTTATGAGTATCATATCCTCTTCTGGGAAAGAAAGTTACTCTTGTTTTTGTTGTTTTAAACACAGGGTCTCACTATGCTGCCCAGGCTGGTCTTGATCTCCTGGAATCAAGCAATCCTCCCACTACAGCCTCCCATAGGCATGAGTTCCTGAGTCCAGCTTCTTCCATTTTAGACTATGCATTTATTTGAAAATCTTTTAGTATAAGGGTGTATGTAGTCACTGTAAAAGCAATAAAGCCAACTTACGTAATGGAGAATGTAAGACTCTTTTAACAGACTTAGTACCAAATATTAAATTATGGTAACACATGAAATAAAGTTATTTAATTTCATTGGTTGTTCTAAAAATATTGCATATCATATTTAGGTGTCTGCATATATATAAAATGTACTGTAAAAATTATCAGTTGAATCTTTCATTTATTTTTATAGTAACTGCCTTTTTATTTTCAAACTTACTTTGATACTAGTCAGAGATAAATTAATGTTTTTTTAATTAAAAAGTCCATCTTCAAATCTCAAAATCAATAAAAGGGTATTGTTTGCAAAGATATTTATTACTCAAGACTAAATAACAGACCTGATATATGTTAGGATTTTAAAACAAAAGATCTGTTCTCTGATATTTCTTCATTATTTACTGAAAAACTGCTTTCTCAAATAAGGTCCAACAAATTTATAAGACTACCATACTTTCTCCTTTCCTTCACCACTTTAGTCTATAATTTGTATTAATTTAACTTTACTTCAAATTGTTTCTCTCATTCCTAGTAGTTATAAAAAAAAAATGGTCCTTATGACAAGTATGTATGTATGTATGTATGTATGTATGTATGTATGTACGTATTTATGTATTTCAGAGTCTCACAGTGTTGCCCAGGCTGGAGTGCAGCGACGTAATCTTGACTCACTACAACCTCCACCTCCTGGGTTTAAGCAATTCTCCTGCCTCAGCCTCTCCAGTAGCTGGGATTACAGGCACCCACCAACATGCCCAGCAAATATTTGCATTTTTAGTAGAGATGGGGTTTCACCATGCTGGCCAGGCTGGTCTTCTGATCTCAAGTGATCCGGCAGCCTTGGCCTCCCAAAGTGCTTGGATTACAAGCATGAGCCACTAGGTCCGGCCTGTGACTAGATTTTAGACTTTGATTTGCCAGCAGTTGTACAGAATGGATTCTGACTTTTCTTACATTTCTTTAATCTAACTTATTTGAAACATACTACTACTTCATTATGCTTTCCAATGTCATGTTAGCGTTTACATAACTGTAATTCATACTACTTTACTATAAATTAATTTCTTTTAGATCACAATTAAAGCATTATACTTATTTGTTAAACTTCTCTGTATATTGTTATTTACATATTTTATTTCAGAATATTAAAGAGGATATACAAAACAGTCCTTGTAAAAAGTAATTATGAAAAGCGGTAAACAAAAATGGCAGGGTAGGTAGCTCCAAAAGACTGTCGCGCCACAGAGAAATAAAAGAAAAAAATGATCAAAACTGTCAGAATCAACTGTGGGAACTCTGGAAGAGAGTTAAAGGTTCACAGCAATCAAGCAAGGTTTATAGCAATCAAACAAATGCAGAATCAAGAAAAAGGCAAATTTAAAATGGTAGACTCCAAGCAACAGCAACAGAATAGACATTTTTTCAAGCACACATGGATCAATCTCCAGAGTAGTCCATATGGTATAGGCCATAAAACAGTTTTAATAACTCTTAAAAGACTAAAATCACAGAAGGTATCTTCTTTGATGACTATGAAATCAAACTAGAAATGTACAATAAGGGGTTGTGGTTACTAGAAAAAAAAGTTTGGTGGTTTCTTAAAAAGTTAAAACTGAATTAACTAAATGACACAGGAATTCCACTCCTAGGTATATACCAAAAAGAATTAAGATGAGGTATATAAACAAATACTTGTACACAATTGTTCAAAACAGCACTATTCGCAATAGAAGCAACCTAAATATCCATCAATGGAAAAATGAATAAACAAAATATGATATATATATTTATATATACACACACACACACTAGAAGATCATTCAGCTATAAGGACTGTACCTATATATTTTTAAAATTAAATCTTTTAGCATGTACTGATATATGTTAAAACACAGATGAACACTGAAAACATGCTAAGTGAAAACAGTTAGACCTAAAAGGCTATGTATGATTACATTTATATGAAATATCCAGAATACTTAAATCCACAGAGGCAGATTGATGACAGTATGGTTTGAGGAGAGGGGAAAATGGGATGTAACTACAAAATGGGCACAGGGTTTTCTTCTAGGGTGGTGAAAATGTTTTGGAACTTAACAGAGGTGGCAGTCACACAATACTGTGAATGTACTAAATGCCACTGAAATGTACCTTTTAAAATGGTTAATTTTGGGAAACAAATTTCACCTCAATTCTTGAAAGTAATTATTGAATCTTAGTAATTTCAAAAAACTACCACCCTAGGATTGCAAATTTAAGATTTAGGATTGTAATCTTAAATCTGTGATCTTAAGTACTTATGTTAGTGATAAAGAAACAATAAAATATATAAACACCAGACTTTGTAACTTTATCAGTAGGGAAGAATTTCTTTAACAAGAGCTCCAAGTTGCCAATGCTAAAAGGAAAAACTGATGAATTTATGTGTGTTAAAATTAAGAATTTCTATTTAATAAAGGAAGATACAGGCAAAGTTAACAGGCAAATGACAGATTAAAAGCAAAATATCTGCAACATCTAAAAATGCCAGGTGATTAATAGACAGACTATATAAAGAGCTCCTGTCAAGAAAACAAAAAAGAGAAAATAATCTGCTTCCCAACTGAGAAAGAAGATATACAGAAATGAAGACTCAAATGGCTAATGTGAAAATAATTTAAATGAAAGCTACTGAAACTTTAAAGTACTCTTGAGCCTTGAATGAAATGTGATTGTGACTGTAAGACCTACATCATGTGGCAAGCCACTGAAACTTTTATTTCTTTGAACTATAGATTAACCCTCTTTTTTATTTTTCTTGTCCTATAAAATGCTGTGAAAGGCCAGGCGCGGTGGCTCAAGCCTGTAATCCCAGCACTTTGGGAGGCCGAGGCGGGTGGATCACGAGGTCAAGAGATCGAGATCATCCTGGTCAACACGGTGAAACCCCGTCTCTACTAAAAATACAAAAAATTAGCTGGGCATGGTGGTGCATGCCTGTAATCCCAGCTACTCCGGAGGCCGAGGCAGGAGAATTGCCTGAACCCAGGAGGCGGACGTTGTGGTGAGCCGAGATCGTGCCATTGCACTCCAACCTGGGTAACAAGGAGCGAAACTCGGTCTCAAAAAAAAAAAAAAAAAAAAAATGCTGTGAAAGATTAAATGGTGCCCCTTCCCTCTTAGTTACTAATTCTTTGTTATAGATTACTGTCCCGCCTTTTTCACATACCCAGCTCAAACCAGATAGAAAAGGCCCCACGAGTACCAAATTGATCGAGATAACAATTTTAAATATATCTTTTCTGAAAAATAACAAGCTGTAACCAACCAAACTGTTTTAACTCATAAATCAGCATTGTATTAAATATGTGGTAATACTCCCATACTTTTTTGCTTCTACTTATATAAGCGAAGCCTTAGCTTCTCCACTTCGGAGCAAAGACCCACTTACTTTGGAGTTCGTTTTTTCTGGGTGGCTATTCTCAAATTTTGCACTTGAATAAACTCTTTTAAAATTGGATTCTGGAACTCGTGATTGTTTCAGGGTGACATTTTGGCAACCCAGGTGGGACCCAAATTAGGCCTCCATTGACTCCCATGATTTTACCAACAGTTGGAGCCCTGGCACCAGCATGAACTGTTTGCATCCAACTGACCTCGCTCAAGACTGCAGAAGCCCTTGGTAAAACCACTCTCAGGTTTGAATCTCCCTGGTTTGACTGAGATTCAGACTTTATGCGACCTGGTTCAACAACTGAGGAGACTGGAACTGAAGCCCTACTTCAAGGTAGGAGTTTTGTTTTTCTCTTATTCTATTATTTATATTTATGATTTTTTTCACTTTTCTCTGAAGTTAAGGTTTTGC